CCCGCCCGTCCTAGACGCTTCTTTGCGCCCGCTGGGCAAAATTCAGACACCACCCGCCCGTCCCCCCGCCCGTCCCAGGCGCCCGCGCGTCCTACAAATTTCCTTACACCCGCAGGGCAAAAGTTTGGTCCCCCCCCCCAGCCAGTCCTAGACTTTCCTTAGCGCCCGTTAGGCAAAAGTCTGGTCCCCCCCCCGCCAATCCTAAACTTTTCCCCATGCATTCGTTGGGCAAAAGTCTAGTCACACCCCGCCCGTCCTAGGTTTTTACTTGCGCCCGCTTGGCAACGCTTTCCCCCCGCCCGACCACTAGACGATTCATTGCGCCCGTTGGGCAGCAACAGTTTAGTCCACCGTCCTAGACTTCTTCTTACGCCCGCTGGGCAAAAGTCTAGTCACACCCCGCCCGTCCTAGACGCTTCCTTGCTCCCACTGGGCAGAATCCAGACACCCCCCGCCCGTCCCCTCCCGCCCCTCCTAGGCGCCCGCCCGTCCTACGCATTCCCTGACAACCGCAGGGCAAAAGTGTAGCCCCCCCCCCCCGCCAGTCCTAGACTTCTCTCTGCGCCGCTTCGGCACAAGTCTGGTCCACCCCCGCCCGACCTAAACGTTTCCAGCATCCGCTGGGCAGAAGTCTAGTCACACCCCGCCCGTCCTAGACGTTCCCTTGCGCCCGCTGGGCAAAGTTTTAGGCCCCCCCCTCGCCCGTCTCAGGTTTTTTTTCACACGCCCGCTGGGGAAACGTCTGGCCCCCCGTTGCCCGTCGCAGTGTTTTCTCGCCGCCCGCTGGGCAAAAGTCTGGTGCCCTTGCCTGTCTTAGTCTTTTTCCGTCACGCCCGCTGGGCAAAAGTCTAGCGCCCTCCCTGCCCGTCCTGGACGTTTCCTTGCGTCCGTTGGGCAAAAGTCCAGCCCCCCCCCCGGCCCATCCCAGACTGTTCCTTACGCCCGCTGGGCAAAAGTCTGGTCCTAGATTTTTCCTTGCGCCCGCTTGGCAACACTTATTCCCCTCCCCCGCCCGTCCTAGACGTTTCATTGCGCCCGCTGGGCAGCAAAAGTTTAGTCTCCCGTCCTAAACTTCTCCTTACGTCCGCTGTGCAAAAGTCTAGTCTCAGCCGTTCTAGACTGTTCCTGACGTCGCCCGCTGGGCACAAGTTTAGCCCCTCCCCCTAACTGGACCTCCACTCGCCAGCTTGTCAAAGATCTAGTGCCGCCCGCCCGTCATAGACTCTTCCTTACGCCCCGCTGGGCAGAAGTCTAGTCCCTTCTGCCATCCTAGACTTCTCTCCCACGCCTGCTGGGCACAAGTTTAGCCCTTCCCGCCCGTCCTGTACTTTTTAATTCGCCCGCTGGGCAAAAGTCTAATCCCCCCCGCCCGTCTCAGACTTCTCCCTACGGCCGCTGGGCAAAAGTCTAATTAATCCTCCCCGTGTTTTCGAAGAGATGATGTTGTTGTTGCCAAAACGATCGTAGCATGTCCATATGGCTGCAGCAAGCGAGCGAGAGCGAGAGGAGCAAGCGACGCATAGCATACTGTAATCAAAGTCGTGGGCTCCGCAAGCCGCATGCGCAACACACGCTGAAGTTGTCGCATGCCCCGAGTCGGACGGATACTGCAATGCGTGGCGTGAAGGCCGGGCTCACCAGGCCGCTACGCTAGGGGCAGCGCTGCACGACGTTTCTGGGCAGACGCTGGCTGCACTCGAAGGTAGGTACGCCTCGGTCAGGCTTAGGTCGGGCCTGTCCCCCTACAGGCCAATTTTCGAGGCATTTTCAAAAATAGTAAAAACATATTCCAAAATGGTCAAACATTCAAAACACTAGTCCCCAGACTATCTGTTGGACTCTTTTGGAATATCCCCCCTGTAGAGGGACAGGCCCGACTTAAAAGGCCAGGCTCTTCTTGAAGTGCTGTGCCCGCGTGCTGGCTTCGCGGCCGGCCTCGAGCGGGCCTGTGAAGACCCCCGACAATTCCCGAGTGCGCCCCCGTGCGTGAGAGCAACCTGCAGTGCACGTGGTGCCTCAGGTGCACGCTTGCTCCCGCCAGCGCCCTCGAACGGCATGCGGCGGCGAGCCAGGGGGGGAAGCGAGAAGGGGCGGGTCTTCCCAGAAGGCTCGGAAGTCGCCCGGCCTTCTGAGAAGTTTTCTGAGCCTTCCCCGAAGACAAGGCGCGAGGGCTTCTGAGAAGTCCCGCCGCCTTCAGAGAAGGCCTTCTCCTTCTCACTTCCCCCCTTCCCGCCAGCGCCCTCGAACGGAATGGGTGCCGTCTGGAGGCTTCCGCTCCCTGCTTCCACAAGTTGCCGCCTTTTTATCTGATCTTCGCTCTCACGCACGGCGCGAGTGGTGCTGGCTCACCACTACGCCCGAGGCCGAGGTGGGCAATAATTTCCGGTTTTGCAAGACAAGCTCCCAGTATGCGACCAGTGCGCCAGCTGGGCTCGGTGCGACCTGACCTGAGTCCTGTAAGCCCGAGTGGAAAACGGAACGAGGATGCGGGGCACAATTTGAGAATAGTCCTCAAAGGTTTTCACCTGAAGCGTGGACAGCCTGAGAGGATTGTGGATCCTAGGCCCCTCCTAAATGGGCATTTAGCGACTCCAGCTGGAAGTTGCGAGCCCGTCTGAGTTCTCTTGGGTCGCGGGGATGCTGCTCCCGAGGTGGCCATTGCGGCCAAGGGATTCGGCCCTCGTGGCGGTTCTTGTCTGACTCTGGGCCAGCGGGATGCTGCCCCGGAGGAGATCCTCGTC